GCAGAGAGATTATGATAAAAATTAATCTTAGCACTAAGAAAATCCTTTGAGCCGATTAATAAAAACACTTTTCCACGTGGAAACGGGATTTTCCGATGGGTTTTAATTATTTAAACCGCCTTAATCTTTTAATTATTAAAACCTTTGTTTTGCATTTAGCTAATGCAACACTAATTCCATAGTGCTAATTAACTTTTTTGAAATGTGCGTCTTCATTCTGTATGACTGTTACGCGGGTATTCCGACAATACTTATTGGATCAATTAGATTTATTCGCCAACTCAAATATATTCAAGAAAAAAGTTTTAGAAATTTTACCATAGTTTTAGAAATATTATCCATAAATTTTAATTAGTTGTTTTATTATTTCTTTAATGTCTAACCTACCTTTAGTAACTGTAGTTTTAATTGTCATGTAAAAACGCTTCTTTTTTAAATCTTTATTTAATATATTTAGTTAAAGTTGTGCATACCTTTAAGTTAGATACATAAATAGTAAGAATTATTATATTATTAGAAATAGATCTTGTAAGTTTAATTATGTATGTAGTTGGTAAGCCTTGTATAAATAAATAAATACTTCATTGTAATTATAGAATCAATGGTTTGATAGAACTACTACGGTTTATAATTTTATTAAAACAATTTAAACTTTTTTAAAAAATGTTTGAAAAGTAATTTAAATTATAAATATTTTTAATGATAGAGAAACCACTGTTACACTCACATCACATCATAGAAAATCTTAAGAAGATGCGCGTCGACTGAGTTTGACTTTGGATATTCGGAAATCCACAACCGGAAACGGAAACGCGATTAAACTTTACGACTTTTTCATCTGTAGACGATAGTTTATGACACGGGCACATTGCAGATTTCTAGACGAAGTCCAGCATGTTTCACAAAAATTATAAATTGATTAGAAGAATGTTGGAGACGGTTAAGATCAAACCGACGATCCCTTGATTAGCCCTACATTGCTACCATTGCTAATTTTAGTATTTATTACACTAGTAATAAATACTAAAATTAGTACTAACGTTTGAGTCTTTAAAAGCTAATTGTGCAAGCTGTATTTGTTACAAACTTCTCCAGTTTATTTGATTCGAAAAAAGACTTCATACAATTATTTTTAGAACATATACTATGATTAATTGTATTGATCTCATGTACTTTATATATCCAGACCGAACAGGAAGAGTAAGTAATTAAACGTAATATATATAGAAAGCTTATATACTAATGTAACATACCACAGCAAAGGATGTGACATGGAATTATGTTTTGATTGAAATAATTGAGATGCAGTAGTTCGATGTTTGCATCAAAGGCAGAAGCTTGATTCGTACATATAATTAATAGGCACTGATTGATACAGCTGAGAAACAGTCAATCAACGGCTTTTGTGTTTTCAGCGTTGATGGTTACTGCACGGCTTATCGGCTTTTGACACTCAATCAACTGAATATATGGCGTTGAAAAAAATAGTTATTCAAAATCACAATTCATTTATTCATGTAGGTAGCTTATTACACTTATGCATGTCAAGACAGTTAAACATTTAAAACTCAAAATTTACAGTTACTACTAGTAACGAACGACAAGAACTGGCAAGAAACTCGCCGGCGTTTCTTTTCAATTTTCAAGTCTTTGTTGCAATCCTTACGCACTTAATATACATCTTCTTCCTTGTTGGAGCGGATTCCTCTATACGACATGCATTGTTATAATTGAATTTATCTGTATTTGTATCCTAGAATGTTATTAGCTCATCAAAGTTTTAATTCGGATATCTGAAAGTCTAGAAAATATCTCAACTTGGAACAAATGACAAAGCCGTCAAGACTAATCCCGTTTCAGTCATTTTGATTTTAATTCACTAGACAGTCATAGATCGTGCGGGATTTATTGCTTATAAGTTATTTAAGGATAATTGATTATCCTCATTTTAGAGTAGATTTTCGTCGATTCCGTGACAACTCCCGGATAATCTCCAAAATACACGACTTTTTCGAGACTACCTCTACTCACGTTTTCCGCCGATACCGCGACAGTATACCGTTCTTAATGGCCTCCTCAAATTAAGAGTACGTGTTGTCTGCTTCTGAAATTACTTCTTAATCTAATTTGTTTATAAACTACTTTCTAATTAATTTAACTGTATACGGTTTAATTGTTTTTAATAAATTAAAAAACGTTGTTAACTTTAATTTTTCACACACTTTTCGCTTGCACTTAGCACGCCCTTCATCGCCGTGCCGCGTTACAATCTCGAGCGTAATCCTCAAAATAAATGTTAAATGTAATTCGACTAGTTTTACAACTTTAGTTGAACGCATCTGGAATATAACGCCCTATATCTAGATTCTAGACCATATAAAATTATACGAGCACCTATAAATAGGTAAGATACCTATTTCTTTTAATTAAACGAATTAGTATAATATTCAATTACTACTTTGAAAGAGACAGACGCGGTGTCTGTTGCGTTTGATGTATGCATTACACTAATACAATACGGTAGTAGGGGAATATCAACCTAGGCGATTTCTTTGAAGATAAATCTGACATGATGATTTCAAATGTACGTAATAAAATTTTATGACAATTTTGCTCTATATTGTCTCGTAAACTTAATTTGTACAATCTTGTCACGATGCTACCTGCTGCGTGTTCCTTGTACCGCGAAGGACTCTCTAGGGGATCCTTGGTCTAGCCGTAAAAACGTCCCTCTTTTGAGCGAGAGAGTCACACTTTTATCGTTAAAACCTTCCCTAAATCTCGACTTGACAAAAACAATATAAAAAACGTTCATTTTTAATATTGTATATTAGGGTTAGTAGAAAAAAAGATAAAAAATCGCTGTGTCGACCGTACAACTTATTTCTTAACAGTTCTTATTTTTCACCGGGTTTCGCGCAAAATTGCTGGCGGCTGCAAGTCGTTCGCGCTGTGTAATTTTTATAATTTGCATTTGAGTCATTTAAAGCTTATCCTGCGCTTTAATTCACACTAAATTATAATGTCCGTGTTTTACTCTGTCATTTTATAATATAATATGGAATATAGTTTGCGAGGCGCCCAGATACAATTGCCAACTACTTCAAATAGTAACTCTTTACAAATATTAGTTAACTAGATTAGATCTAGGTTTAGATCTAAGATAGAAATTTCTATATTATATATTTATTTCTTTTGTTGCTTGCTTGTCCGATAAACTGCAACTTTATAAATATTTCGCTGTAGACTCCTTTTTAAAATATTTATTTAATTTTGACGATATATTAATCGTATAACAGATATTATTATAAAGTTTTCTTGAAAATATTTCTTCTTAACTTCTCTAATTAATATTTATAAAAGAAATCATTGTAAACGTAAAAGATATCAGTTATTTTTTTTTAACTGCGACCGACATTTTAGATTTTCGGCAGTCGTGGTCATGGGGCACCAAAGATGGTTGCCGTCACTGACGTGAAAAAATCAGCTCCACTAACGACGTCTGTTGTGTCGTAATTGGAATTTGCAGAAACTCGCGGGGTCCTTACAGAACTCGCTCACGGTCTCTTCTAGCTCATAGGTGTGTCAAATAATATCTTTGTGTGTAACTCTTGCGTAAAAAACATACAGTACTCAAAAATATATTTTTGGGTGCGATTTCTCTGATATATCGATAAAATCCTTTCCGCATACAATTGTGCGAATAAACCAGAAAATATTTCGCAAATAATAATTAATTTATAGTCCGGGCAGCGATCTAGATACGAGGGCTTTTCGCTGTCGATTGTTAAAAAAATGTTGTTTCCATAACGAAAACATTTTCAATGAAGCCTTTGTTGTGACGAAAAAATTTCATTGCCAATAAATTTTACACTTGTAGGGGAATTGAAATTGTGAGATCGGGGACTTTTTTTATCTTTAAGTGCATTACTTATCGTGTATTTGTCCTTATTGGAATCAAATTTCGTCTAAATACTTCTATGCTATAAAGATGTTGAAAATGTTTTCAGACGAATAAATAATTAAGTATAAATAAGTAATGTGACTAATATAGTATAGTATTTGTAGTTTACGCGAGGAGAACACATTTAAACATAACACTTTCAACGGTTTAAAAGCGAAATACTTAATTGTAATGGCAGCCGAAAAGTCCTATCCCTAGTAGAAGTAAGTTAAAAATAACTGAACTAATATATTTAAATTTAATTAATGGAGGAAGTATATCTCAGTTATTCAGTAACAACACTTAAGAAAATATAAATATGTATTTATGCTGTAGGGATGTTTTCAAATGACAAAGCCATTGCAATCCAACTCACTTACCATTTTCAACTTTTCATTTCCAAGCGCAGATATAATGTGTGTCAAAGATTTCGCCTGGACATTTTTCTATGTCCGTCACAAAGCCTTTTGGTCGCTTCAAAAGATCACCCAAGAGAAGAGCACCCTCCAAAGGGGTATTCTGGAAAATTTCGTTGCCAAATGCACTTTCGCGAAACGGATAGGTTGTTACTAGACGAAATTCATTACCTGGGATATTAAGAGCTAGTCAAGGAACAGTCGTCGGAAAAATAAATTGAAATCTGAGGCATTCAGACGATTTGCAATGGACGCATTGTCTTGAAATAAAATGTAATATTTAACTAGGAAAGGGCGCCAAATCTGGAATCCCGTTTCTAAGGCAAGCAACGAAAGGTATAGAAGATGAATAATTCTTAAAGCCTTCCACGATAAATGGCCTATCCAACACAAAAATATTTTTTCCATTAGAACCAGTAGTTCCAGAGATTAACGCGCCCCAACAAACAAACTTCTCAGATTCATAATATTAGTATAGATAACCGAACTTCCATTAGACCTTGTGCTTATAATAATCTAAGGTCCGATGAGACGTTAAACTGGCTAAAACGGTTCAAAGACACTGGCAACAGCCAAGTATAGCAGAACCAAAGCACTAACCCGTTCCAACGCCCAGACATAAAATTTCAATTTTGTTCCAGGGATATCCGTTTCAACAGGATTTACGATATCGCACCGCGTGTGTTCAGCCATCTACATCGGCTCCGCTCGCTGCTCTTGAACGACAATGAGTTGACATCGCTCCGTTCTGGGGCCTTCCACGGCCTTAGACGTCTAAAATACCTCTACTTGTACCGGAACCACATCAGCCACATAGATTCGGACGTCTTCCAGGGAATGGTGCATCTGGAACAGCTGTGAGTATATTTCGAACTAGTTATACTCTCACTACTAGCCAGCACAGTAGTGACGTCACTCAATCTGCATTGGATTTATATTAAAATATAAATATATAAAACTTAGCAAATTATGCTAAACTATAATTGTATTTACAAACTCTAGTACTAAAGAGAGTTATGTATAATTTCAGATCTATACACATAAAAACAGATATGAACTTATACTAATGCAAACAATATTTATTTAAAAAATATTATTATTAAAATTTTAATTAAAACATTCTAACTAATCAAATGCCGTGCGTCTCCAGAATACCTGCGTAAAAGCGCGCTCTATCTACCCGCGTCTACATACGCCCAGCAAATTAGATGTGATTTTTTAAATTAGCATAACCTTTTTTTATGTATGAACCGATTGATATGAAAAAAAAGTAGAGCTCACCACAACATATTACTGTACCACGTCTAGATCAGTATTTTTTTTCAGTTTTTGAAACTATTGTGTTGAATTGTTTACAAAATACTTATAAAAGAACTAGCAATCCTTTTTTTATTTTGGCGGTATTTATTATTGGATTGGATTTAGATGGATTAGTGTACTTCTGCCCGACCAAAACTGATCATTGTTACCACTTCGCGCTAAATTGCCACAGAACCGTTAAATGTCTATGGTCGCCTTAGACCATTAACTGTTGACCGTTCTGTATGAACTTGTATAAACAATTTTAAAAGACTAAACTATGAATTCCGATTTAATATCCAAACTCGTAACGCCGCTTCAGAAAAATAAATCAAAACTTATAATCATATTGTGTACACGTAACCAGTTAAGATTAGGCGTGTTACAAGAACGAAGTACCTAGGTCTCTATTACGAAAGAAATTCCTGCATTATCTGGATTTATTTATAGACTTGAATATAGGTGAAAAGTTACAGCGCTTCTTACTCGACCGTACTCGTAAAGAAGTGTAATGTTTCCGGCAACGTTTGACAGAAGTGTATGATTTTATTGAATAGATTCGGAATAGATTTTTCATTTCTTTATGAAATTATAATAACTTGTGAAATCTATTTATGAAAAAATGTGATTATTAAATTATTTACTATATGTTTAACTAAAACTTCTGTAACGGTTTGAAACGTGAAATACACATACAGTTCTTAAACAGCACATACTTCGCGAGTTGGCAAGACACGTAGCTAACTTTATTAGCTCATAAGTTTTGCATTTGCATTGGGGCCATCCCTGTCAGGGCTTCATGTATTTTAGTTAAATAAAGAAATCCGTTTCATTTACTACCAATTAACCGAGGGCCCAAATGCAAAAGATATAGCGTTTTTATATTTCCGCTATAGAATAACTCGAGTAGACATTTATGTGTCCTTTTCACTCACCGATTTCGCCGACCTCATATGGACATTGATATAAATATTTAAAAAAAAAATTGATTTGATTGATTGATATTAAAAAAATGTTTCGACCTAAGCAATCCCACAGTTGGGATCACATGCCTCACGTTTCTTCGGAGCGTACGCGGTGCGCATAAGACTTCTCGTATTTGCATTAGTTAAAAAACAACGCATTTTATGGCTGAACAACTACATATTTTAAATTCATGCTGTATAATTCAACTTTGGGCCCTAGGTAAATTATAAGTAGAACTGCGTATAAATCTTTTGCACAGAATACTAAACAAAAGCGTATACTATCAACGCCCAACGTTAGGCCAAGAACAACAAGTGAGGCCGTCGCGATTACACCAAATTGAAGTAATTTGGTGTAATCGCGAAAAGAAAAAAGCGTACAAACGAGCTCCGAGGGCTCCCTCAAAGCATCGTAACGTGCTGGTGGTGTGTTTAGTGGTTCTGGTCGGCTATTGTCTCCGAGGAGTTTGTAGTAAGATTTATCATTAGGCATGCATACTCAGTTAAAAAAAAGCTTTGAAAAAAAAAAAGGTTATGAATCTCGCTGCGTATAATTATGATCAGCTACTGGTTTATTTATTATTCTGTGGTTTGTATTTATATTTTATGCGGCAGGCGCGTCGGCCTAATCGCTTCACAGAAAATGATGTCATTGTTCTGCGGATCATATACAAAATAACTAATAATAGTTTCAACACATTATCGTACAAGAATGCCTTTAACAGTTTAAACGGTTTAAAATGCAAAATATATTATTTAACACCCCACTGACTACGGCTGCTGTAAAGCATCCGAAATGTTTGATCGGAGTTAAAATATTTTTTTAATAAGTTAACTAGAATATTTCGCGTTTTAAACTATTGAAAGTGCTTAATTTAAATTTATACAACTCGCGTAAACTGCGGGCAATACAAAATCTCGAATTGGTATCTACGTCAAAATTTTGTTCTTAACTAACAAATCAAAATACATTTTTTTTAAAACACCACTATTTTTTAATGTCAATTATATTTCAATGACATCTTACAATAGTATGTACAGAACATTTAATACACAGTCTCACACGCACATTTTTAGCTGACCGACTTTTATCAACTAAATTTCAATCTTTTAATGTCGATAATAATATGGGAACGAAGCGATGCTGCTCTAACACAAGTTAGTAATCAACTTTCTGGAATATTCTTAATACTATTTGTAATTTAATTACTAAGACAGTGACAATAAACATATTTATTTATTATCATTATTAATAAGGTGGAAAAAAAGCGCAATTAACTTAGGCGAAAATGAATTTGTACTATTAATTGTGTAAGAATTATGCTAACAATTTTAAGACTATAAAAATATAAATAAGTCAAGTCATAAAATTGCAGTTAGGCTACTCTGCCCATAGTGGCCTCATATGCCTTAAAAAAATATTTTGCTGTAGACATAGTGTAATGGAGGCGAATATATACTTTCTTTAAATACATACTATATGTTTAAAATTTAAAAACAAACATTACTACAACGGCCGTGAAGAAAGGCATTGATAAATTATGGTGGGAATCCAAGTTGATGGATTCCCACCACACGGACGTAGTCGCGGGTAGAGCTAATAATTTATAAAGCTGAGGAGGTTGTTTCCAAAAATAAATGTGCACAAGATAACTTTACCATGCGGACGAAGTCTCGGACACAATTAGTTTTTTAATAAAAAAAATACTTATTGCACAAAACACTGATGCGCAGTAACAATTTTGTAAGTATCAAAACATATTTATTTACTTTACACACAATGCAACGATAGCAACGTGTGAAAATTATTAACATGCGTTGCTAGCACTGCGTTCGGCGCGAGGTGTTCTGTTTTCGAATCCTGGGGTAACGTCTTAATGCCGATGTGGACTCCCCACGTATAGTTAACGAGATGTCACACACTCACACACTGAACTGTTCGTTGCAAAAGTTCTATGAAATATTGAATAGAACTTTGAGGACTTATTTCTGAGCCGCTTTCGCAAATGCGCCAAGAGCGACTACATCTAATAAGCTTTAGATAAGGATAAGTTTCCGTACTGCGGAAAGCAAACGTACTAAAACCTACACGCTACACCTGGAAGACTAAATGCGGAATAGAATTTGAGAAAAGTTTAACTCATATAAGTTGTATTTGATTAAATATTCTACCGTTACCTAATTTTATTTGATAAGTTATTTAAACCCTTCTAAGATATATGTTGTAATCCTATATATGACGCCCATTTTTCTTAAGAATGAAAAATTGAAGACGTCAATTTATTGTTGATGATATTTATATTCGTTAAATAAAATGCTTTAACGGTTAACGTAAACGTTAACGTAACGCGATATATATTAGTTTTAAAGCGTTAAATTGTTTCATTTAAATGTATACTCGCGTAAATTACAGACAGTAGGTAATATTGTGGTTGCCATCTTTGTTTTGATAACATCACTCGTTGTGTGATAAAACACAAATTAATTTGTTTAGTTCATTAGTAGCGTTATTTTTACAAGTAGTAGGACCATAGAACGCTCTAACCATTTCTATAATTTATAGTACTTTACCTACAGATGGCGTTATAAAGTCCTACTGTATACTGATTGTCAAACAACTCCCGAATGCCCGCTACTAAGTAATCAAATAATGTTTCTCTGTAGGTTAGCATTTCTAGCGTGGAAAATGTATAACTTGTTAGGCTTTGCGTCGCTCATCAAGTAATTGTTGAGTTTAACTCGTACTCATAACTTCTCAGTCCGGACCGATTGTTTGTGTAGTAAAAAACTTTACAAAGTTTTTAATTATATGCAAAGTAACTCGCGTAGGATACCGGAATTGCAGATTAAAACTGTTTAAAACGCGAAATGTATTGGATAACTTAATTTCAACTACAATTATGTTATACTACTTTCGTAAACTGTAGACTGTTATATCTATGATAATTTTATAAATTGAAAATCCAATGTGACGAACACATTTCTATGTCCGTTCCGTTTTGTTGGTTGTTTCTTTTACTGATCAACTTTCAGACATCTGTGCCCTCCCCGACGACTCTTAACGCAATCGTATAAATTATGTTTTACTTTGAGTAATTTATTATCACACTTAAGAATCCTTTGTTTTCAGATATCTCCATGTCAACGAGATACACATAATCGAACCTGAGACTTTCTCTAACCTGCCTCGCTTGGAACGTTTGTAAGTATCTTATAATTACGTGTTTGCTTTATTATACTTGGAAACGTGGATGCACGATCGGTGATGATGACATGCTAAACGTAGATTGAAAATATGTTAGACTCGTTAATTCCGCGTTTAAAACCGTTAAAAGTGTTTTCGTTATATAGGTGGCGTTTAAAATAGTTTAAATCCTTTGAATACTTTTAATGGTTTAAAACGCGACGGGTTTAACATGTGTCTAGGCAATTAAAATTTAATTAAATGGGTGTTACGAAAATTAATATTCCGTCCGGATCACGAACCACCGTCCCACAGATGAAAAATATTTGGAGTGCGTGTCGGTTTCAATTTCAGTGAATAGTGCATCTTGTTGGTATATTAAATAAACTCCACACTTGTCTTCTTGTATCGTCAACAAAAAAATGTGTACTACTCGCGTAAACTGCATGCAAAATGTTTTCTATCTGTGATAACTAAATTATTTTGCCTTTAGATATTTGCATAACAACAACCTGAAGACTATTCCACCTGGCTCTTTCCGTGGGCTGCCCAAGTTGCAAAAGTTGCGCTTGGACAGCAATGCCCTCATTTGCGACTGCTCAATGCTTTGGTTCGTCCGAATGTTATCTGAACATAACCAAATGAGTATTGCTGCTACCTGCTATGGTCCGTCTAGCACTACTGGATCTTCTTTGGCCACTATGAAGGAGAGCGATTTTAAATGCAGTAAGTACTTATAAGGCTACTTCATTAATAGTCGGCAAGGCCTACTAATTACCAATATATTGGTAAACAAGTAACAGTTATACTTAGGCTTACTACCCTCAAATAATTAATACGATTAATTTAAGATTTTGGGTATACAAAATATTTATTAGATTTTTTTAAATATGTGATATTTAAATTTTGACAGTAATAGATTGATTCGACTTCAAATGGTATTCAGTTTAGCTGTTCAAACTTCTAACGAACTAAGGGACAGCCTGAAATTCAGAACTTATCAAGCCTTGCTGCATAAGCTGAATCCTATTAAATTAAAAACGTGTTTTTTTCTCTCTTTTAATTGTAAGTTTTTTTTATTCTCATGTTAGTTGTAAGTTCCGTACTTTGTGTAAATAAACGAATTATTTATTTATTTAACGCTATTTTAACTCTAGAACAACCTGAATTCGACAAGGAACCAGAAGACGTAGTCGTGAACTTCGGTGCTGACGCGATGTTCATCTGTTCTGCCACCGGGGAACCTGCTCCAGAAATTATTTGGTACCGTGATTCTACTGTTGTACCACTCGACACTTCGAGGTATGAGGTCATGGGGAACGGAACTTTGATGGTACACGAAGCTGATGAAAACGATGTTGGTATTTTCGAATGTATGGCGAAGAACCCCGCTGGAGAAGTGAAATCTAAACCGGCGAAGATGCTTTTACACACAAAAGTCAACAATGAAGGTAACTTCACGAACATAAATACATGTAAAAGGCATAAATATCTGCCACTTAACAGTTTACAGCGTGACATAGATGGTTTTATTGCGATAGTATCCTACACACGTATCATCTTCACGAATAGCGAGCAAACTACTAACCTAATGAATGGAATTTAGTTCCGTAATTAAAAATTGTCTGCAGTCATTGACAAAGTATTTCCCTTTCAGACCATCCTGTCTTCACGATTTTGCCGCGTAAACAACTGGCTAGAATCAATCAAAACTTTGTGACCTTTGATTGCGTAGCTCAGGGCAATCCTAAGCCGCATATATCTTGGTCTTATAATGGTGATAAGATCCTCCTATCAGACAGGATTACTCTGCAGCACAATGGTTCTATAGTTATTGAAAAGGTGCAGCTTTCGGACGCTGGTAAATATACATGCGAAGCTGAAAATATTCACGGAAAGGTGTCTTCCTCAGGCAGTTTAGAAGTTATGGGTTAGTATAGTTTTTGTTATCTATTAAAAGGTTTTCTGATAGTTACTACATAATGAGATAATTTTGAAAACTTACACCTCGCGTCTGAATTGTTGCAGTTCCACCTGCCTTCATTTTAGTGCCAAAAGATGAACAAGTATCCCTTGGTGATTCGGTGCATTTTACTTGTACTGCTCGCGGAGTACCCAAGCCCGTTATCACCTGGTATAGAAACACGATGATTTTGCCTCCCAAAGACAACATTATTCTGAGCGATGATAATCAAAATTTAACGATAACCGAAGTCACCGATGACGACGATGGTATCTATCACTGTCGCGCTGAGAACTCCGAAGGTCTTACTGAAATTTCTGCTGTTTTAAAAATAGAAGATTTTCAAGTTGTGGCACCGAAAATTTTGATTCGCCCAGAAGACGTAGAGGCTTACAAAGAAACTACAGTCCAAATGCCATGTGAGTACGAAAGCGAACCGTTAGTCACGATAGAATGGCGAAAAAATGGTAACCGGATAATACAAGACGACAGGATTTCAATATCTTTAATCGGAAGTTTGATAATTAATAATCTTACGCTGACGGATACTGGGAGCTATGAATGTTCGGTATACAACGATTACGGGCGCGATACTGCATCGGCCTTTTTAACAGTAAAAGATCATATTTTGCCTGGCGATGAGTATGTTAACATAGCTTTAACCGAAGCTACGAGGGATGTTGATCAAGCAATTGCACGTACAATCGAACAAATGTTTACAAACAGAAGTGGCACTAGCGTTCACGACCTTTACAGAGTTGCGCGCTTCCCGAACGCACCTGCAAGAGAGGTCGCAAGAGCTGCCGAAATTTATGAGAGAACTCTTGACAAAGTCCGCGAGTATATACAAAAAGGATTGAAGGTCACGACGGTTGAGCCCTTTAATTATGAAAGCATCTTATCAACTAAGCATTTGGACGTAATCGCTCGACTATCTGGATGCGTAGCACATAGAACCCCTGAAGATTGCTCTAACATGTGCTTCCATAAAAAATTTCGAACGATTGACGGTTCCTGCAACAATTTTGATAATCCAACCTGGGGCGCCTCCCTGACACCGTTTAGAAGACTTTTATATCCAATTTACGAAAACGGATTTAGCCAACCTGTAGGATGGAATAAAGAACTCAAATACAACGGTTTTAGTTTACCCAGTGCTCGTTTGATCTCCACATCCATTATTACAACACAAAACATAACAGAAGATGAATTTTTGACCCATATGCTAATGCAGTGGGGTCAGTGGTTAGATCATGATATTGACCACGCCCTTCCATCCGTTAGCGACCAGACTTGGGATGGAATCGACTGCAAAAAGACCTGCGACTACGCCGCTCCTTGCTTTCCCATCGACGTACCTCCCAACGACCCGCGAGTTAAAAATCGTCGTTGCATAGACTTCGTGAGGACAAGCTCCGTCTGTGGCTCAGGTATGACTTCTGTTTTGTTTGGGAAGCTTGAAGCCAGAGAACAAATTAACCAACTGACTTCTTTCATTGATGCTTCTCAAGTGTATGGTTTTGAAAAAGCTGTCGCTGAGGATCTGAGAGACCTGACAAATGATAATGGAACACTTCGTGTGGGCGCTAAATTTCCCGGCAAAAAGCCTCTTCTGCCTACAACTGGTGTTAATGCTATGGATTGTAGGCTGAACCTTGAAGAGAGTACTCGGAGCTGCTTTGTCGCTGGAGATATTAGAGCGAACGAACAGGTTGGCTTAGCAGCTATGCATACAATTTTCATGCGGGAACATAATCGATTAGCTACCCAACTTAAAGCGATTAACCCCTTCTGGGATGGTGACAGAGTATACCACGAGGCAAGAAAAATAGTAGGTGCTGAAATACAGGCTATTACTTATTACCATTGGTTGCCCCTCATTCTCGGTCGTCAAGGATATGCTATGCTTGGAGATTATCAAGAGTATGATGCTGAAAAGAATCCTGCTGTATCCAACGTTTTTGCTACTGCAGCATTAAGATTCGGACATTCTTTGATCAACCCAGTCCTCAACCGCTATGACGAGCACTTTGAAACTATCCCTCAAGGTCACTTATTATTACGCAACGCTTTCTTCGCACCATGGAGGCTAGTGGATGAGGGTGGAGTGGATCCATTAATTAGGGGTATGTTCATGACACCGGTCAAACTAAAAACACCAACACAAAACTTAAATTCCGAACTTACTGAGAAACTATTCCACACTGCTCACGCCGTAGCACTCGATTTGGCTGCAATGAATATTCAGAGAGGTCGCGATCACGCTATTCCTCCATACACAAAATGGCGAAGCCTTTGCAACATGACCGACGTGGACGATTTCGATGACTTGGCCAACGAGATATCTGATAAGTCAGTTAGAGACAAACTGAGGGAACTGTACGGCTCTGTTCACAACATCGACGTTTGGGTTGGAGGAATTCTGGAAGACATGTCTAAGGGAGCTAAGGTCGGGCCTCTCTTCCGATGCATACTGATTGAACAATTCAAACGACTTAGAGACGGCGATCGGCTGTGGTTCGAGAACCCCTTAACCTTTAAGCCCGAGCAACTTAAGGAAATTCAGAAGGTGAGCTTAGCGCGTATCCTTTGTGACAACGGTGACAATATCGATACGATTGGAGAAAATATTTTCATCCTACCGGAAATACAGGACGGTTTGATCTCTTGTGAAGATTTGCCATCGATTGACCTTCGATACTGGATGGACTGTGAGTCCTGCGGTGACGATAACGAAATAGAGAGGAAACGAGTACGTAGAGATGTGTCAGACTCTGATCACAACCAAATTATTGAGAACGAACATCGCTTGGAAATATTGGAGGATTCCCAAAGCGAACTGTTGAAAATCATTGACACTCTTCAAAGAAAGGTCGAGCTACTGGAAGAGACATGCCAAAAGAATTAAAGTCTTCGTAAATACATATGTAAAAAATATTCAATTTATCTTCTATATCAATCTAAATGTCTAGTAAATGAAATCGTTTTTGCGATATCACTTATAGTCTATATAAATGTATAAAACAAAAAACAAATAAAAAAAGTAAAAGGTCGAGAAAAAAGACAAAAAAATGGGTGTTTAGACAATATGTATGCTCAGGGTTATTCGAAAATGTAGTGAAAATTTTAATATCGCTTAAATTGTTGTCACATATCGATGTTCAATAAAATGATACAAAAATAATAAAAAAAATATAAAAAAATGATATAAAAATCAATAAAAATATCTGCTTCGATGTCTTAGACCGTAGTGGATGTTCTATAGACATTAATTTAGATATCTCCTATGTGGTCCAACTGTGCATGAATTTATTTTCGATTAATATAACCTATCCCTAATACTTAAGTGTCTTAATTCTCGAGTTTACTAATTAACGTTGTTAAGAAAATATTCGACTGTATTATTTTAATATTAATTACAGGGTGTCCTATTTACAATAATTATTATATTACAGTTTCCATCCTATAGATAATATAATGTATGTACTCGATATATTGATGTATTTAGTATTACAACGATAATTCATAAATAAACATAAGTGTCTATAATCTGTTAAAGGTGTTAAATGTAGTTCATGTATAATAATAATAATAATGCTTGCGTCTTCGCTAGTCTGTGATCACTTATATTCTATCTTGTATCTTTGCTGAGCGTTTTTATGAAAATCTTTCATGGCCTGTAACTAATTGGCCTGTATTCATTTATATTATTTTATTATATAAAGCCGAATATTATATAATACAATAAAGATTTTGAATAGGTTGACACGCAAATTAAAATATTAGTAATGGATTTCAACTGAGACCCGGCGGTTCGCATGCTCGAAACAGATGGCACTAGTGTAGCAATTTTGACATTGACATTTGTTGCATTTGTTATCTTAAACCCTCCATGACTGTAGCTGCTGATTCGAATTAACTAGTATTGTTCGCGTTTCAACCTGTTTAAAATTTCTTGTATTACAATTCTGCATTTATATTCTGTTGCTATTTTTTGGCTCCATGTCAATTTTATTACAATAAGAATAAACAATTATCAGGTTCCGTCCTATCCAAAATTTTCAGTGACGAACTGGTCAAGTAGTTTCTATTTAACGTTAAATTATAATGATATGTGTATCTACTATATAGTCGGATGTATGACACGAAACCAATCACCTCCGTTTCCCCTTTGTAAAATATTTTAAGCGGGAGATCTCGGTCAAATTACGTGGTAACATGATTAATTGTTACGGACAGGTTAGATACAGAGTTGAGTCATGTAAATAAACATTGATCTTTGAAAATTGACATATGAATGTATCTGTCCAACACGAACCTGACGAATATTGTCATCTTTCCATCTCCAACAACTAACTTCACATAATGCTTTCGCTAAAGTGTATTCCACATTATATCTTAAGAGCAGCTAGTAAACATTATTTAGACCAATCTTGACGGATGTAAACCCGATAGAATTCGAGTACATGTTACACGCGAATCTACCCACTGAAATTACGAAAGCTCGTTATTTTAATTAACAATAACTAATCGTGGTGGATTCGGTCAACATTGCCTTCGTTTCATGTCGAGTACGTATGACATGTTTGTTCATTCAAAGTCTAATTGCATATGTTTGAAACAAAACATGATCTAGCTGTCGCCTAGTGATAATATTCTCAGTAACGCTGGTTGAATGATTTAACTATTCTAAAACTGGCAAATCTAAAACAGTAATTCGATATTAAATAATATCCGAACGAAAATCACTTTTAGGGCGACGCTGAAACCGAATAATCGGTTTGGAATCGGCAACTCCGAATTGAAAGTGTACGACATTTTCATAAATTTTGGCTTATAATCAAAGTATAAGACAAGAAAGAATATTTATTTAAAAATATATTCTAACGTGAGTCCCTACTCCTTAACCATGAAATAAAATATGTAGGGACTTTTTCGGCCCGGATTGTCTCAACGGTAGGTACTCTTCAAATTTACAACCTGTCCAAAATAGAATGATAAGTTTGACATTTTACGCCTTGCATCTTTATGATATTGTGTACAACAAACAAATTTACTTTAATAATGGTTACCGCTCTTTTACTAAAATATTACTAAAACAAACAGAGAAAAATCGTAATATATGTTTTTCTAAAGTAAAAAGGATTATGATTCACATCTTTGTCTTTCTTAATAATATGCAAGTCATAGATATCACTTACTATTAAGATATTAGACTACAGAACAATAACATCATATCGTATTTTAATTTTCCAGCTTATCATTCTATATTAGACATGATAGAATAAGCATTTATTTGTGTATTATTATTATTTTTTAAACGTAGATATAATCGATGTAATACCCTACCAAAGTTACCACAGTAGTGTATAAAGCGAAAAGTTGAATAAAAAAAAGACAATTCTACTACACACATATTGTGGACTCTTTGGTAGGTAAGTCTTAGTCCTATCATTGCGAAGACATTTTCAATTTTTTTCTCACGAACGTCTTCACGCTGATTGAACTGCATTTTAAAACCCGAGGCTCTAGTTAAGAGAATCTAATGCATTGGCCATTATACAAATGGTATAATACTTTACCTTACAAAGTTTGCAAGTGCAGGCAAAATAATTAACTTTCAATACCGGAGTGATTCAAAAACTAAGTAAAACAAAAACAAATTCCGTCTGCAGGTTACGCTAGTAGTACACAATTAAATAAAACACTTTAACGGTTTAAAACTCGATATATATTAGTTAAACTGGTCGTGGTGGTAGCGTGGTCACGGCTCCTTCAAAGTATAATTTTTAAATGAGTTTAACTAATATATATCGCGGTTTTAAACCGTTAAAGTGTTTTATTTAAAAAAACAAATTCTATTTAAAATATACTCCTGAAGAAACTTTACATCGAAAAATCTGCATTTTATCATAGGATTCAATTTTCACAACTTAACTATTTAAGATCCTCGGGTCAGTATTATTGATAAATATCGTGAAAAATCTAGCTAAAACTCAAAATTAATAACACACTTAAGTATCACTAATCATAAATATCGCTTGAATCTTACTATACACCAATATTTGTAAACATTGAAACCTGGCCACGGAACACTCGCTGAAGCGAAGGGCGGCCCGTCTAGCGATTTGAAGAAATATAAATTACAATCAATCCAGGCATAGCGATGACTGGCGAAATTAACGGAAGCAGGAACTTGTACGCAGCGAGCTGAAAAATCGAGAAAATGGTCGCTTCGCATCGTCGTCACACCGTTGCGCGCCGTGGCCAGGTGGCAAGATTGGTTATTAATTTAGGATTTTAGCATCGTAGTTATTTGTGTGTATCCAAAAGTGTTCAGACTACTGTTCAATAATGTTTTATTAACCACTCGAGAACGTTTGAAATGTGTGATTTGGCGCATTATAAGTGAAACGCATAATTTTTTGCAGATGAAAATAATTGAAACTTGTTCTAACTAATAACTTGACTCGTATTTTAACATTTTACTTTTGAAATTTGAATTCTAAAGTTTTATATTGTTTAGTCTGAACCTTTTGGACAGTTAGTGGTATGCAAAGGGTGTCACCTAGAGTTAAGAGTTATTGTAAGCAGAATGATAAATACGGTTATGGTATCAATTCTGTTAAACTCAGGGTCTAATTCTGCTAATTCACTAGGCGAGACAAGTGCCATAACAATGAGGGGCGAGTTGAAAACAACTGACATTTGAAACAGTATTCTACTAAACGTTCATCTCCAATAAAATCCAGTGTGATGACAGTGGATAGCTATACTAATTAGTTTTAAATGAAATCGATAGGTAGTCGAGAGGCTAGTGAAAATAGCAGAATCTGGACCCTGGTCTCGCTTAAACAACACAAGCTAATAATAGCTATTTAATAACGCGCGTACTAAGCGTCCCAGTTTCGCTGTAATAATTCATAGTCGATGCAATATTTGCCACAAAATTAATTATTATTATACTTAGTTAAACATATCACACTATGCATGTTGCTCTGTGAGGGCAATCTCATTTACGTATACGTATTGTCTGTGAACTCTTATTAAATTGTATAAATATTCACGATCGTAGGACAAACAAAGGCTGTTCCTTATCTTTATATTTAAGAAAAAGATAAACAAAATAATTCCAGGAAAACATAATGCCATATCGCTTGATCCAAATTTATTTATTGAGCCCATGTTATATTTATTTGTGTCATGTTTAAAAATCATAAGTCCGCATTTTTGTAATCATTTACGAAAAACATAAATACATATCATACAATCTCTGCATCATTAAAGTAGTCATCAAGATTATGTTAATGATTTCATTTGACATTGATACAGAGTAGTTATCATTCTGTATAAAATGTTCGATAACGGACGAACGATTTCAATGGTACTGGGTATTTCTGAAGGAAATTGATGTGCAAAAATAAATAAAAAATGCAATGTTTGTGTTTTATTACAGAGATCCCATATTTGTAAATGCATCACTTTTTTAGTAATTTGACTGTAAAAGTTGTATTTTCAAAAATCTAATAGAGTAACAAGCAAAGATAAATAAAATATTAAAAAGAGAGTTTTCTAATTCCAGATTAAATATACTAAGTATAAATGCAGACCTTTATAATTATCATTTTTTATTTAAAAACAAAAACACAGATATCATTTCTCAATGATGTATTTCAATATTTAATGACTTTTTTTGTAAACAACTACATAAAGAACTCTAACTATAAATATTATCCATCTGTCTATGTATCACTAGATAAGTTCTGTATGACAGCAATATTTTTGATTATCTGTAGTAAAATTTTTGGTAAAAATTAAAAAACTTTTCATCTTCACTTTGAATCACATAAAACAATTAATTAAAATTATATTTTATTTCTCGACATTAACAGCAATCTGAGGGAAGTGTATGGCTGTGAATGTCATATCAAAATCTATTTTATGTTGTAGCAGAAGAAAATTTACTAAATTCAATAATCTATAAGTATATTAGGCTATCACAACTTTATAACAATTCAAATTCCTACATATTTAGTATGCCTTCCTATAGCCAATAATTGATTCTTAGTTTTATTTCTCACTTCCACTTCAAGAAAAGCTATCTTTTTTCCTATTTTTTTTGTAACAGCCTCCACTTCGACATCTTCACCTTCTCTTGCAGCATTCATATAACTGAAATACAAATAAATAATGCGTATATCAATGGGCCACCAATATATAACAATATAAGCTTTAAGACAAAACCAAAACATGTCACATATGTTTAAAAAAACAATAATTTTTTATTGGTTTCATACAAGATGTACTAGGTAGTCACCTAGTACATCTTGTATGAAACCAACCAAACCAAAACCAGCAGACAGAATGTAACAACAGCAAGAAATACAATTCAGTATGTTTACCTTACACTAAGATCTATAGATACTCCTCTTGTCTCAACACCTTCATTAGCTGTTAAGGCATAAGTGGACACAGCATCAACTAAATGGGCGATAAAACCTCCGTGAAGTGTGCCTCTTTGGTTCAAATGTTCAGGGCCCACTTTGAACTCCGTCAATAGTTTCCCATTAGAACAACAAACGACTTTAACCTATGAAGTAATAACATTTCTTAAAACAAGTTTTTTTTTAATTATTGTTTTATCCCAAACTGGAATGCCATAAAACTACCTTACGTAAGTTTTGATCGAAACATTTGGTAGTGGCGATTGTTTTAGTAAACAATTCAGCAATTGTAGCGGCTTTACTCATCTTGTCTTAATAATATAAAGTTACACAGTACAGATAATTTTTAAGGCAAATATTATTTTTCATGTCGCTTAAATATTTGATAAAAACGCGTTTTTACAAATAATGGAAAACATATTTCATATTTATATACATATATAGTTTATATCAATTCGTTTAAAATGTCATCCATAATAAAATGTCAAAGTCAAAATTTGACATTGACGTTTGATCAGACTACAGAGTATAAGTCGGATTTCCAGGCATTAAAATGTGTGTATGTATCCCCAACACACTATACAATATTCTAGCAACATACAACTAGAAGCAGCTTATAATTTTTTTCATAGCACCGCTAGCTGAAGCGTAAGCTTATTGCTATCATTAATTTCAAATATAAAAGTTATATTTCAAAAGAATTTTCCTCTTTTGCTCTGAACAATATCCAACTATCATCTTTAGCACAGATTTTTTAAAATCCCAAGAATGTAATGCACGACGAAAACATTTAGTAATAAGCAAATTACCGAACCGTGTATTGTTTGAGTGAGATTCAAAATTTTAAAACACCATTACTTATTATAGACAGTAAAATAATTGCGTCTATAATAAAATATGTACAACTATCTAACACCAGCTGTGGGTAATATTCTCATGGCAAAAGAGGACACGGACCTTTAATTTTAAATTAAAATGTAACTTACATAATGATTTTGTTCTTTCTTTAAAATGTATTTTAATATTATGTAAATGGGGTTTAATTTTGAATACTGTCTATTGACTCTGTGCAACATTTAATATCAACGTGTTTGCTTTTAAAAATCAATCAGGCGCTCTATTCTCCATTATCGGTATTTTGGGGATTAATAATTATTTTCCATGTAATTAACATTTTGACAGCATTTAATTAACCCAAGCTCTCATCGGCTTTAAAATGAAACTTTATCAAACGTAATCACTTGCAGTTGGATTTATTTAATACATCCGTAATGCTATGTATTTCACACGTATATATTACGAAATAGTAGTAATACTTTATAGTTATTTAGAAATGGTATTACCGTTAAGTATTGTCCCCCGGTGACCACAACTGCTTGAGACACAAAGCATCCGAAACGTCGGGCCATAGTTGATATAAATTGTAAATAAGTTAACTATAATATTAAAATAAACTGTTAAGTGTTTTATTTAAATGTATAATGATGTCTAGATATAACAACGTCATGTGATATCTAGATAGCCCCACTATTAAATTAACATTTGATGGTGATCAAATAATAAAAATTAGATATTTACTTTTTACGTGGTTACGTTTACTGTTTTCCCGAAATGTGGTCAACTGACCATTGAATTTTAAAGTTGGCCTAACAGCGATGAGTAGGTAGAACTGTCATGGTGTCCATATGTCTAATATTGGAATATCACTGAATCAGGTGATTAAACTATTTCTTGTCTGGATGAAATACTATACGATATTTCTACGGGATTAATTGTAAATACTGTTACACGAAGCACACTGTAATACTGTGCTGTTTCTCGTCTGCACTCTGTGGGTCGTGGGTCCAATACCGCACGTGATTACATAAACATCGTGATTCCTAAGCGTCTTGTTTACAACGGAACCAAAAACGTCGTTTCACAATTTGTTAGAGATTAATCCAAGTAAGGTAACAGAAATTAATTTGAAAGTCGCGTAATGATTTCACTTGGTGACCAATGATATCACGAGGCAGGACACGTAGATATTGCGTGAATTGTGTAATCCATCGGCACACTTTCAAATGTACACTTCCTAGGCCAAGTACAACGAATATGGATCGCATAACACATGCTAACCGATTGCAAGTGACCATTTTGAATGCCACGTGCTAAAGAATGAATTTGTCACTTAAATTAATGTTCGTTATAAAATACAATTGGGTTTCCCCGCGATTCGATCCGAGACCTTTAATGGATAAAACTCGCAAGACTTCCGAATCCCGACCTGACGGAATGCATCAATCTATCCAGTTTTTTAATTAAATGTTTTCTTCGTCTCACCTTCATTTGTTATATAAAGAATTTTAATTTAATTAAATAAACACTTTTAACTGTTTAAAACGCGATAGTATTAGTTTCTTATTTTTGAATTATTTTAACTACAGCCCGACTTTTGGGATGCTCGGCACGCGGGTAATAAAGGCAAGGGCAAATAAAAAAAATTTCACTAATTTATTTCGTGTTTTAAACTGTTGAAAGTGTATTTTAATGTAGACTACTCAAGTAAACTACATCCTAAATCCAAGATTCTGAGTATCCAAAGCCGAAAACAGGTCGACAGCGTAACATGCTTAGATGTTATATGCCTCGGGTATTTCAACTATAATCAAGTGATTGCTTATCTATCCTTCTCTATTATGAAAAATATTAATATGCAGACAGGGCGATCGGCATACCCAAATGCGTGGTCGCATATCGCAGATAGGGTTAGCGTTTCTCAAATGGTTTACATAATAAGCTTATTACGGCACATGGCGGGTCAATTAGGATCCGGACGTGATCCGGACTTCCACCACAGCGTTCGCCTTTCTCCGACGCCCACTCCTCGCTTGCAACATAACATGTAGTGTACGTGTTTATATTATTTTTCAGACTTAAAACTAACGCACGTCTTAATGCTTTTTTTATTGGCAGCCAGCAGTTATTAACCCACAGACTTACGTCGTCAACTCTCCACAGACATACACTTACAAATCCACTCGCACTTACGTGCATCTTTCGTCTTCTGTCACAATTTAAAAAAACACTCGAAGTTCCTTGTTTTTGGGCTTATCGTTTTTTTTTTATATCAAAACTTTGTATTTACTGTACAAAATAGTTGTAAAGAATAATCTCAGGAAAAGAAAAATCTTTGGAAAATTATTTTTGGTTTAGTTCGAACATTTATCGAAAGGAATATAACATCGCGCTGCGGTCTATAAGAGTGGAAATATGGAAGCAACGGGAAATATTATTCACTATTGGAGAGATTTGTTGCGTGTGCTGCGAAAACGGTTCAAGAGAAAAAAAATGGATTAGAGAATAAATTTAATGATCTAAAAAATGTCCGCGACAGTATATCTTTTGTATCTTTTAAAATTAACTTGCAAAAACGATGGGACGCCAATGACGACGTGGATAACAGCTATATATATTAAAGACTAGCTGTGCCAGCGACTTCGTCTGCGAGAATCGTTATTTTGGGCATTTGGGCAGAGGTGAAAATTTTTCCCCCGTTTTGTTCACATTTTTCACTGTATCGCTCTTATTAGTCACAGCGCGATGTTTTATAGCCTATAACCTTCCTCGATAAATGGTCTAACCAACAAAAAAAAAATCAATTCGAACCGAATATATAAATTTTCAGCTTTATATATTAGTATAGATGAGGATCAGGTTTTAAAATAACTATTCTATGCGGACGAAGTCGCTGGCACAGTCATAAATAAATAATAAATAAAGCGATAATGTCAACTCGGTTTTTATTTCAATAACTTAGAGTAAAAATTATTTAATAATAAATCTCAATTGTCTTTGATAGTTGCACGTTAACATTTTAATGTCCCACTGCTAGGCACAGCTATTCTCTTTCATAGAAGGAAGGCAATAAGAGCTTAGACTTATCACGAAGCTGTGCAGGTAGGTTTTACGAGTACTATTAGTAACTTCACGTAACGAGACATGAAGGTGATTCGACTTAAAAATAATTGCACTAACATATTTCATGTTTTAAACCGTTGAAGGGTTTTTATTTAATTGTGCAATACTCGCGTAAACAACAGAGTATACTTAAAACATTGTACTCCATACAATAACTCAATAACTTGATAGATTTTTGTAGGAAAATTCCTCACGATTTGGTGTCGTGTAACCATTAGTCCAATAAGGTAATTGTATGTTATACTGGGTATATATTAAAATGCATATTATATGTATATATTTGGTTAGGACAGTAATTTTTTATTTAAGCTTTATATTTGACTAGCTGTGCCCGCGAATTTGTCCGCGTGGAATAGTGACTTGGGGTAGAATTGTTAATTATTTTTGGCTGTTTATTAATAAATGTAAGGGCACATTGAAGGCAGCCAATCTACGTTGTAAGTGCTACTTTACTACACTCACTCCCACTCCCACTTGCACTCCCAGTCCCACACCCACGTGCACCTATTCCCAAAAAGCCCAAGAGGAAAGTTTCATTCTTATAGCTTCAAAAACCACGAATTTCCATATAAACTTTCATCCCCTTTTTCAACCCTTATCAAGCCTTTTTTGGCATTAAAAAATAGCCTATGTCCTTTCTCAGGGTCTAGACCATCTGTATACCAAATTTAATTCAAACCCGTTCAGTAGTTTTGGCGTGAAAGAGTAACAGACAGACAGACAGACAGAGTTACTATCACATTTATAATATTATTAAGGATACTAATGCAATTATTCTAGATGTTGTTATATACTTCTAACGACTGCGGCTAAAGTAAGCTACTCAGTTTAATGTATGCAAAATGCGGATTACGCATGGAAAGTGTATAATAAAATGAAATAGCAATAACTTCCGTAAAATACACTTTCTTTAATACAGCCTGTTCTCAAAAGTTCCTACAACCGCTTCCTCATCGTATATGGTCCTTGCTTGATATTGAGTAACACGTCTAGGTGTGGATACAATGTAAGCACATTCCTATTACAGTGTTATTTGCCACAACCCGCCCTAACACTCTTAGCATGGTTAAACGTGCTAAGCAGTCCTAAGTTCGATTCGAAATTGAGGAAAAAATTATGTATGTAGGTAATTAAAGAGAGGAAATATGTGGTGCTATTAGGCTATTACTTTTTCATACGCTATTGATTTAGAGAAATTAAACATCTATTTAGATTGGAAAAATTTGACGACGCGGTAGGAATACTTGGCATAATTTATTAGAGCAATAGTAAGGAATGAATTTCAGCGATATCAACCCATTCTTTATGTGATGTGGAGTGTATTGGTTTAGAAGACGCGACTTACA